CAAGGACATTTTTTCATTGCTCTTTTTTATTTTTTAAGAAAGAAAAGAAGGGAGAGAGAGGCACAGACAGAAAAACATGGATGTGAGAGAGAAACATCAATTGGTTGCCTCTTATAGGTTCCTTGACTGGGGACCAAACCTACAACCTAATATGTGCCTGACCTGACCAGGAATTGAACCTGTGACCTTTTGGTGTATGGGACAAGCTCCAACCAACTGAGCCACACCAGCTAGGGCCACAATAATGTTTGACAAAATATCTGGTCACTGTGGCCCAGCCAAGGTAATATATAAAGTTAATTTCCATAGTAGATAATACCAAAAATTTACAAATGAAATGTGAAAACTGGTCCTCAGAACGTTTGAATGATTTGGTCAAGGTCACCTAGCTGATTAGCTGGAATTAGAATTTGAAACTTTTAAGTCCTAGAAGGACCTCTTTCTAAATAATTATGTTTTGTTCTCCGAAGAAAAGAAAAAAAAAAGCATTTGTTGAGTGCCTAATATGCTAATATTTGCCAGGCTCTGTACTAAATCATTTATATAAGGTGCCACTTAATACCCCATCATTATATAGACAGGGAAACAGAATCTTAGAAAGATTAAATAATTAACCCAAAGCAGTAAACAAGTACTGGTAAAAGCAGGGTCTTGACTCTAGGTCTAGATGGTTCTAATACTTCCCACCATCTGGCATTTTTTAATGATGTTTCCCTTCTACTCATCTTTTTTTTTTTTTTTTAATTTGGCAGGATATAATTTCTCCCAAACATTTTAAGAAATAACCCAATGTCTTCATCCACAAGACCATTTCCTCAGCTGGAAGTGAGTTTTCAAATATTAAATGTGAATGTAAGATGAGGAGACTGATTTTAAAGAAAGATATGAACTCTTCTACTTCAAAACTAGTGCTGCCCCAAATAAAAAATCTACCCCAGGCAACAATACACTCATTCCATTACTCAAAATTCCTTTGTGTTTCCTCTTTTGAAACTGCCTTCAGGCCCTGTATCACTTTCTTTTCTGAAGTAGTTTTAATGTTGGCAAATGTTCACTGTTTGATTCGAGTTCTGGGAAGCAGCCCAAAATCATCTGGTACCAAATCTGGTGAATAAGGTACATGATCAAGCTAACACAGTTTATATATTAAAGAAGAAGACGGGGAGGAGGAGGAGGAAGAAGAAAAATTGTGACTATAGAAGAACAAGAGATTTTCTTTATAAAGTTAGAAAAGTGGCTTCAAAGACGGCCCAGTGTCATTTGGTGCACTGACAGCAAAGCTGGAATGAATGTTTAAGTTGGAAAAAGTAGCCTTGCAAGAGACTACACAGGATAGAGAGTACTCTAGTTTACTGTTACTTCACAATCACTCACATGTTAGGGCGTTTTAAAAATAATCAATGTTTTTAGAAGTATTTTGGATTGAGATACTCTTACACATTGGTTAGTTTTGGCTGGATGAAGATTTAGACAACAAAGTCAGGAGCTATAATATATTAGCAGTTGTAGCTCAGGAAAAATGATTGAGAATTTCCTTTCTTTTTTTTTTTTTTGAATCCTGGTAATGCAAAGAGCTAATCAGACAAAGGGTTTTTCTCGGAAATATTTTCTCCATTTTCAATAAGCGCAAATGAAATGTATGAAAGAAAAGACAACTCTCTCAAAAGCAAATTAGAGAAACTGTAGGTCTTTGAAAGTTTAGGGAAGAATATCTGCCTGCTGCACAGCTGTCTTTTTTAATGTCCCCTCATAATGTCCCTTGTAATCCATATGTGGAAGTCCCCTTAGATTCCACACATAATTAACACTTGGCAGAAATAAGCCAAGTAAGCCTGAGGCTCTCTTAAATTTCATTTAAGAAATTCAGATTTCCATGAGGGCAACTGGGGGAGGGGAACTCAGGCCCCCCTTCTCTCACAGGATTCCCGGTCGGTCGCTGAATGCTACAGGAATTTATAAAGATGTCCTCAGCCAGTCAAAAGGTATTCATTGAGCATCTGCGATATGCAGGCCGTGTGCCTGAAGGGGGCAGGGTGGGGGAGGATGCTGCAAAATGGTGTAAAACAAAATTGCAAGTCTCATTCATTTGATTGAGGTCACATCTACCTATTAAGAGGGGAAGGGATGACTAAGGGCTTGGAAAGGATAAAAAAAAAGTCTTGACAGAGAGATGAGAAAGGAACCCTATTGCAGAATGTTTAGGATGCTGATGGCTGTGGTTGGGAGAGGGGACAGAGTGTCTCAGACCAGCAACGCAAATGGACACTGGGTTGTGAGGACAGCCCGTTGCCCCAGGAGGTCTTACAAGACAGGCTGAGAATGGAAGCCCGGGAGGCTGCAGAAAGCCTGTTTGACATTCAGCAGACATTAAGGGAGTTGATGACTATATTTCAGGCACTGTTTTAGGCATTGGCTGATTATGGGAATCTTTTGATGGTTCCGTTTTCTCACTGAAGTGAAAGACAAAGCCATCAGCTGAGAATATGGATTAGGGGAGTAAGTACTGGGGCTATTTAATTTCATTTTGAATAGACAATAGTTGTATATGATATTAAATACAAACACTATGAAAGGACAAAAGAAAAATCTCACTTCTGTCTTTGTCCACCAGCTATCTAGTCCCCTTCTTCTTTGGAGAAAACAAGGGTCCTCTGTGAACAAGGGCATAAAAGAAGCATTAAATTGTTAGGGTACCTAAGTTTTTTGATCCTGGGCTGTCAGATGAATTTGCCCCAAGCAGCAATTTAGAGTGTTTAAATCTGTTCCCATCTTGATCATCACAAAATTTTACTTTTCCACATGTTGCTGTTACATCTTTATTCTGCTTCTTTATAATATTAAAAATATTGTACAGCACCACTACACTCAAAACTATTACAACCTTTAGGGTCGCCTTGGGTGCGCCCCACCTAAGACATCCAGAGCCTGGCGAGTTCTGGGCTTGTTCCCTTCTGAGATGTGTCGCGGGAGCGCCAGAGTTGTGGAAGCATGTGGGTGAGGCCTGGTCTCCTCCGGCTGAGCCCCAGGCCCCTCTCATGCGGAGGACCAGCCGGGGGAGGAAGGAAGAGTCCCCTAAGAGTTTCTAAGAATAGTTCAAGTGCAAATTTCTCCTTTTGGTCACCAGAATGTGCTTTGGAACCAGAGAAAGTTAGAAGCCCCCAAACACACACTGATATCTTACCCTTTTATCTTGTCCTTATTAAAAAAGGTATTGAGGAAAGCTCGAAAAATCCAGAGGAGGAAGCTATTAGTTGAAGTAAATGTTTTGGACCTCTCTCTGCAATTCAATTTAAAAAAAAAGAAAGCCTAGTATACCTTTATGCTGCCTGATGGGCAACAGAACAGATGTTCTGCAGATTAAAAACAAAACAAAAAACCCCTCTGGATAGTTTAAACAGGAAAGGATTAAGAAGATTATTGAAAATGCTGAAGGTAAGGCTCTGGCCAGATGTTCTTGAACTTTTGTAACTGAAACTCATGGCTAGCCATACATTTTCTATTATGACTCAGAATATATGTACATAAATGTATGCACACACACATAAAACTGAAATACAGTCACATAAAACAAATTCACCTTTACTAGGGGCAATGCTCTCGAATATTTTTTTTATTCCATTTTATTCTATACTACTCTATTCTGTCTGTTTATTTCTTTAATTTTTCATGCTTGTGTCAATTCACTATATAGATTTTATTACCTGTAGTTTGAAGAACATTGCTCTAGGCTGTGATCTCCCAGGTACAACTCCCAGACCCTAGACCCAGCTCCCTCTGCCTGACCAGGGAAGCCTGTTTCCACTGGAGCAGAAGCCGCTGAATCAGGAGGTCTCCTGCCGGCTCAGGAAGCCACAGCTGAGCTGCTGGCTCCAGAACCAGGCCACCTCCACCACACACCCCCCACCTCTCACTTCACATTCAAGTCTCTCAAGTTTATCTGATTCTTGAAACCCTGCCTGCAATGTAGTTTTTAGCTTTCTAGCCTCAGCAAGCAGTGGGAAATTTAGAATGAGGATAGATGAATGGTAGTGGGCCAGCCAATACTTCTGCAAGGCTGTTGTTCACCTTGTTCCCTGGTCTTTACAGGAAACTTGAGCCCAGGGTGTGCCTGGGGCCCCTGCCCGTGCGGGAATGCAAGGATTCTGACTCTGACTAAAAATGTTTAAGATTCAATTTTAGGTTTAACTTGAAAATAGTGGCATCACATAAACTTGGGCTTTCAGAGCTGCTCTCTGCATTCACAAAGCATTGGGGAAACGTTTGTCAACTCCATTCTGTGTCATGTTGTTATAGATGCTGCAATTCATAGCTAATTTGCCCTCAAGGAACTTACAGTCCAATGGAGTGATAAACGAGTAAATCACATAAATAATACTGTGTGACGAAGGACAGGATGGGCTCAGTCACGGGCGGCTAAGGGAACACAGAGGAGGATGCTCGGAAAGAGACTGGAACCACAGAGGGGTTTTGAAGGTGGTGACCCTTGAACTGAGTTTTCAGGGACGAGCCAGGGAGAAGAAAGCCGGCACAGCAGCCCCAGTGTGTAAAACACAGTAAAGCGCATGAAGGACTCTGGACTGTTCCTCATGAGTGAATAAAAGTCATCCAAGGGAACATGGCAGTATGTGAAGGTAGAGAAATAGGCAGGTAGACTCCGGACCATACCTACTCTTCTCAATAAACAGCCAGAAATAATGTTCATGATTTACTTGAACACTGCAGGTTTACTGCCTCTACAATGCCATTGTTTTATGAGATGTCTAGGGTAGAACACATGCATTTAATGTTTCTTCCTCATTTATCAAACATCCCATACTCAGCATTGTTAATTATGTTGGGGAAAGGAGTTGGGACCATAAAGCAGGGTCATATATTATGATGCAAATACCACACCGAATAAACACCTGGAAAAGGGTCATTTATAACAGTACTATTAAAGGTAAGTGAATATTTTTAGGGTATTCTAGGGAACACATATCTATATATAGTATATAATTTTTTTTAATATGGAACACTTCACAAATTCATGTGTCATCCTTGCACAGAGGCTGTGCTAATCTTCTCAGTATCGCTCCAATTTTAGTACGTGTGCTGCTGAAGCGAGCACTAAAAGTACTGTTAAAAGCACAAATAAATGACCCATTTGTAATTGTGTCCTTGTTATCAGAAAGAAGTTTTCTTCATATAAATTCACAGTCATCACTTAACAAAGATATGCTCTGAGGCTGACCTCATATGAGCATTATAATTTTAGACTGACTCCTGAGCTCCAAACACTTAGAAACTTTTTGCCAGCTCTGGAATAGATAGCAAGCAGGGTAATACTCATTTAATTCTTTTGCACAGTAATCTGATGGCTAAATATGCTTCAGAGATTCTTTTAGGACTAACTGGGGAATGAAATCAATCAGAGTGCATAAATTACAAGAAAAGCGCTGTTGGTGTCAATTACCTAAGCTCTGTGGATGTAAGTCTTCTAATTTCCTGTTAAATCAGTAATGTTACCAATCTCACTCTATTATTTTAAATAGGACTGTAGCTGCACTTGCTAGGAGTTGAATGAGAGCAGACAAATGTAAATAGTTAATAAGTCTCATGAAGTAATAGCAAGTTGAAGGTGTCAGTAGCAGTGATATTATAACATGGCTCTCAAAGCTCCAACCTGACGTCTGCAAAAGAAGGTTTAAATCTGTTTGCTTTTTAGTTTGTTCCCCATATTTTCTCTAAATGCATCTTGTACGCGGCAAATGCCGGGTGAAAATGCGTTTTGTACACAGCAAATGGCAGTTGAATATGGGTGTTCCTACTGCCATAGTGAGTCCCTATCTTCCCGCAAAGATAATGACCCTGAATTGGTACAGGAAGTCTTGGCTGCACTTTCCCTTGTAATCTACCCACCCCCACTGCTTGAGGCTACATTTCACTGACTCATAATTTCCAAGTATGATCAGCATGCTGACAGGAAAGATAGAGTCACTGGGCAAAGCAGCAGCCCTAGAGAGCTGGCCAAGGCCTATCCAATAACCTCTGCCACCATTGATGGCAAAACAGAAACAAGGACAACAACAACAACAGCAGCACCCAAACCTAGAGTACAAAAGCATCTGAGTGTTAAACCCTTGCTATTTTGCTGCTTCCTCAGCACACCACTCACCTTCCATGACTCACCGAACTAAATGGTGGGTGTGTGGCTTTCCTTAGCAGTTGGCTATCATTCACTTCCTATTCTCCAAAAATAATAAAATTAGCCAATGGCATATCACACTGACTGATATTACAGAAATCAAACTTACTGAGAGCCAAGTTGCAACTGAGGTTTACATAGACCTCGATGAGAGTCTAGGGACATCACATACTATGTGGTCAGGTTGGGTCTTGCATGAATTGCGGTTCTGTTGTAAAACATTTTTTCAGATGGCACACAGACTGCTCTAGTCAGCCAGTTCTTGAACAGGAAACATAACCCTGCCCTTCTATTTTCCTTGGTAAAGTCTCATCTTCTTTGAGTCAAAGAAATTCAGTTTTCTAAATCTCCCCATTCTTTTTCTATTTGCATTCTCCTGCTTGTTAGTATCTTGCAAATTTAAAGGTAACTGCCCTTCTTTAAACCCATTCTCAAGCACAGAATGTTTGATGAATGGAGGGAAATCCTATGACAAAGGATAACTATTAATGAGTCCATTGTGAACCAGCCAGATGAACTAAATGGCTAAATTCTAAATACATTTTAGGAACTAGTCAAGAGTTCAGGTAAAGTGAGACCTTAAAGTTATATCTTATCACTTGGTCAGTTTGCTACTTGCCCAGCAGACATTTCTCAGAAGTTTCCTTTAGTGCTATGGGAATTAAATGTGAAAATAAATGGATGAATGGGAGGAGAGGGAGCAAAGCAGCCCAGATAAACTCCTATATAACTTGTCACTTGTCATTTCATAGAATTCAAGAGAATTAAAAACAAGGAAACTGGCAGTTCTCCCTGCATATATTTCCTAGGTTCACAAAAAGCCATAACAATCCTATATGTGGCTGGTCTGTCTTTCTTGATGAGTGAAGACAATAAACTTAGAGCTATGATGCTCATTCTGCTGTATGAGATTGGGGAGATACTGAGAAAAACAAACTCAGTTTTTACATATGGAAACTGGGTCACAAAGACATCAAGGAGCTGTGGGAAGGCACGGAGCTCTTCAATAGTTGACTAGAAGCAGGGTCTCCTGGTCCAGAGCCCCAGCAGTGCTCCACGTTGCTCCTACTCTAGCCATATCTGGTTTACTTTACAGATTATAAGGTACTTAAATGCTGATTAATTTTCTATTTTCAACCTCTGTGACTGTAAATGAGATTAGAATGTTTGTTCGATGGGAAATTCAATGGTGCATCATGTGATAGCAAGAAAAGAAATGCACTTGTGATAAAATCCTCTCTGACACAAATAACTCAGCAAGCTGTTGAGGAAGGCCAGGTCTGTACACATTGTGATGTTATTATTAGCCAAGACTCCGGCTATGTTTGTATTTCCAGTAAGGGGAAAGGAAAGAAGACTCTAAATTCCTCAGGAAAGATTTACCTAGAGCATAACCTTTTACTCAGAAATTGAGTTTTTTCCTACATCAGTACAAAAATGTCTATTTTTGTGAAATGATCTTTCCAGAAACATGTCTTATCAAAGAATATTGTAAAACTTTCTGACATCAAAACAATGCTCTAAGGAGAATCATCACAGGATTTTTGAATGGACCAAAAAAAAAAAAATAAAAACTTGTTATGTTTAAAAGCCTGTACTTATTTTCAGGAATTATTGTTGTTGTTGTTATTTCATCCTCTTTTCCCCAGAAAGGTCATATGAAAGTCATTTAAAAATTTCAGATAGATTGAACAGGTGTAAGATTGTGGCAGCCCGGTTCAGAGTCTGAAGGCTGAGCAGGCTATTGCTTGGATGGACAAAGATGGGGAAGGGGAAGGGCGAAAAAGAGAGCCAGCTTACTTCTGACCTACTTTACTGCTAGAAACTCAGCCCACTTTGCGCAGACTCAGCTGGTCCTGCCTCCGGCCTTCCCCATGGAAGACACACACACACACAGACACACACACACACACACACACATGAGCATACGTTTCTAAAGGATGGTGCGATTACTGCCTCACATTAATCATATGCTTGCTACATGCCAAATCCCAGGCTCAGCCCCTTCTCCCTCCCACAGCTCCGAAAGCAGGCCCCATTACTATTGCCCTCTTAAAGGTAGGAGGTCGGAGGCATAGGGGGGTGAGGTAACTTGCCCTAGGCCCACAGAGGGCAGAGTTAAGGTTCAAGCCCAGGCAATGTGATTCTTGGAGAATACTGAATGTCAAATGGCATAGCCTTGAAATAGTAATTTTGGGGTTTTTTTTTTAATGTAAAGAGGAGTGATTGGATTCTGGAGCTACTGAGGCCATCTACCCCATTGATGGGACTTTCAGTTTGAAAAACTCAAAACAAATTTTTTTATTGTTCAAATACATTTGTCTCCATTTTTCCGCCACCACTTTCTCCTGTCCAACCCACCCACACCTCCCACCCTCAATCCTTCCTCACTTTGGCTTTGTCCGTGGGTCCTTTATACATGTTCCTTAATTTGACCCTTCCCCTTCTTTTCCCTGTTACCCGCTCCCGCCTTCTCTCTCTTTACTGTCAGTTTCTTTTTATTCTTTCAATGTTGTTGGTTATATTTTCCTTGCTTGTTTCTTTTGTTGATTAGGTTCCCCTTATAGGTGAGATCATATGGTATTTGTTTTTCACCCCCTGGCTTATTTCACTAAGCATAATGCTCTCTAGTTCCACCCATGCTGTTGCAAAGGGTAGTAGCTCTTTCTGCTGCATAGTGGTCCGTTGTATAAATGTACCATCATTTTTAATGCACTCATTTCACTGATGGGCACTTAGGTTGCTTCCAGCACTTGGCTATTGTAAATTGTGCTGCTATGAACTTTGGGGTGCGTAGGTTCTTTGAACTGGTGTTTCGGGATTCTTAAGGTGTAATCCCATCAGTGGAATCACTGGGTCAAAAGACAGTTCTATTTTTAGCTTTCTGAGGAAATTCCAAACTGTTTTCCATAGTGGCTGCACCAGTCTGCATTCCCATCAACAGTGTAGTAGGGTTCCCTTTTTTTCCACAACCTCACCAGCCCTTGTTGTTTGCTGATTTGTTTATGATGGCCATTCTGACCAGTGTGAAGTGGTATCTCATTGTGGTTTTAATTTGCATTTCTTTCATGGCTAGTGATGATGAGCATCCTTTCATATGTCTCTAGGCCCTATTTATGTCCTCCTTGGAGAAGTGTCTGTTCAGGTCCTTTGTCCATGTTTTAACTGGAATGTTTGTTTTCCTGTAGTGAAGTCATGGGGGTTCTTCATATGTCTTGGAGATCAAACCCCTGTCTGAGGTATCATTGGCAAATATATTTTCCCATATGGTTGGTTCCCTTTTCATTTTGCTGATGTTTTCTTTAGCCATGCAGAAACTTCTTATTTTGATGAAGTCCCATTTGTTTATTCTTTCCTTTAGGTCCCTTGCCCTAGGGGACATATCAGTGAAAATATTGTTGTGTGGGATATCTGAGAGTTTCCTGCCTATGTTCTCCTCTAGGACTTTTATGGTGTCGCGACTTATATATAAGTCTTTTGTTCATCTTGAGTTTACTTTTGTGTGTGGTGTAAGTTGGTGGATTATATTATTTACTGTAATGCTGCCTACTTGAACAAAGAAACCCATGAAGTTCAACAAATATAGTAAAAGTTTATTTCCTGTGTATGTCAGAGTCTATTGAAAATGCAGTCATTGAGGGTACCAGGTTTGTTCCTTCTGTCTTATAGCTCGGGCCTCCTCTTGATCCTTGGAGTCCTCAGGGTTCAGAGAGTGGATGGGAAGAAAGCGGAATGGTGCAACGGGGAGACGAGGCCTGTTCACATTCCATTGGCCTAAATTCAGTCACAGGGTGACAACTAACTGCAAAGGTGACTGAGAAATGTGGTCTAGCAGAGAACATGGATATTGGGGAGTATTAACAGCCTTTGCTTCAGGAACCAGTATCTTTACTGGACTCTATTTAATGTCTTCTCTACTGAAG